GTAAACCCAGCTGGTATCTTAAGCGGTGCACTTTTCCCAACACTCGGCTCAACACTCTCAGCTACATATATGTATCTTGCTGTGAATCAGGAATCCAAAGCGGAAGTTTTCTTCCACTTATTATTTCAGATAACACAATCTGCCCGCAGAACCCCATAATGGACGATATGACAAGGAATACAGCAATAACAGCCCATAACTATCGCAGGTACAGTAAGGTTTTTGGAATTTTTTGTGGAAACATAAGTTTTACATAGACACATGCATATTATATGTTTCAGATCACAACTTGCACAAGGTTTGGTCATAAACAAAGCTGGAAGATATTTGCCATCGGCAAGTAACATGCTGAGCCTGGTACTGTGGTTTGAATTCTACGGCTCCTACCTTGAGGGGGTGTATAATCCATTAAGGAAGTCAAAGCATCAGTATCAGGGACTGCCTAACAAGTAGTTTCTAATTTCGTAGAAAAGCCCTAACTGAAAGCTCCCATAGGACGAAGAGGGGAAAATTGCAAAGTTCGTGAAAGTAACAGTATCCTCCATGATGGTGCTGTACGTCTCCGTGCCTTGACTGTTCGGTTGAATGCTTCCTCCTCCATAACAAACTTAAGAAGAATGAGAGAAAGTATGATTAATGAGAAGTACTGGTTCATTTGCAGCTCTACAACTGCAACTTAGAAAGCAGTGCTATTAATTCTGCTACTAGATGTTCTGATGAACGCATGCCGTCTCTACCTGATGACATACAAGAGAACGTCTATATAGTGTCGAAATATGCTCCTGCTGAATATCCTCAAGATGCCCTCATGTTTGTAAGTTAAGTTTGCTAACTTGGAAAATCACATCATGTCCTAAACGCCAAATGCGCATCCAGGGTATAAAACATTGGTGGAGACAAATAAGAATGAACGGAGGCATCGGCCAAGGCGTAACATATACTGATTATAATGAGGGCACTCCGACCGAATGGTTCACCAGGGTATGGCTTTTTTCTATTTTTTGCCAAATCTCTTTAGACTCGATAGGATCCCTGTCTACATGTTGAAAATGAATGTTTCTGGCAGATGGCCTGGGCTACTACTCAATATTTCGGTTGTGCTGTCGTTCCGTGTGGAGAGGACATGTGGACTGTTGTGTGTCACTATCAACCGGGGTGAGTTTGCTTAATGTTCCAAACAAGTTCACGATCGTAAATTAGAAGCTTTTAAAGGACCCGAGATCTTTTCTCACACAATCCTTACAAATACCCTTTTACTGAGAAGTACAGGATGAAATAACTAGATAAAAAGGCATACAAAAATTATCGGTTCAAACAGGATTGATTAGAACTTTTTCAGGGGAAATATACTGGGTGAACATATATATGAGAAAGGCTCTCCGTGTTCGAATTGCCCCTATGACTACACGTGCAACTCCGAATATCTTTGTGCTCCTGGCGATACCTACGATACATACGATACAAACGATACACCCGATACCTACGATACACCCGATACCTACGATACACCCGATACCTACGATACAAACAATAATTACGATACATACGATACACCCGATACCTACGATACAAACGATACACCCGATACCTACGATAACTACGATAACTACGACAACTACGACAACTACGATAACTACGACAACTACGATAACTACGATACATACGATAATATGTATTAGAATGTCACTTCTTTTTCTCTTGAATTTGTTGGAATTTTGTTCCGTGAAAGTAGTAAATAATTTGGCACACTCGATTATTCACTGTAATTGAGCCAACTTTCGCACACTCAATTCAATAAAAAGTTTTGAAGGCAAAGTGGCAATTCCATCGTATACCACCTATGTTATCGCCATATTCCATTAGTAGGATTCACGGGCTATATAGAATACTCGAGTGATTCATGAGTTGCTCTGCCATCATGAAAATCAAACAACTTTGAAACTGAACTCGATCCAAGCAGCCGAGTACAGGCACTGACTGAGCTGGTTGGAAAGTAAATACTAGAATCGATTTCTTTCCAGCAGTCAATGAGTTCTTGAGAAAGCAGAAGGACAAGGAGAAGAGTTTGACCCCCATTTTCTTCAAGACTCTTTAGGACTTGGGGACTACTAACTTCTCCCCGAAAATGGTGTCGCGCTCATTGCATCCACTCGCAGTCGAGCGCCATAAAGAGGAAGAATTGAATCCCCAGAGAAAGGATACGGTAATCGAAACACTGCCGCTTCCCGAGGGAATTCTGGGACTACCATCACCCCATCTCCATTGCCATAGAGCACCGAAGGAATTAATCAAACCGGAAGCAGTTGGCGACTGCTGTTGGAGGAATTCGAAGATCATCACGAAATTCGAAAAATGCTGAGCATTAGAGATCGAGATTTGCTACTTGCCTAGTAATTATCGAGTTGTAAGGAGGAAACAAACTTTATAGACATTGAGAGAACAAATCAGTTGATCCCTCCATGATTTCCAACTCTTCAACGAGAAACTATCAAATTAACTTTTTTAGATTAGATAGATTTACAGAGGTGCTCGGTTTGGATACGTTTTCTGGCGATTTCCAGCAACTTGACTTCAACACATGGGCACGAGATTTCAGCGGCGGCTTAGTGAAGCATGATGGTAACGGAGTGAAGGAGAAGGGTTTGCCCACAACGGTGCTTGAGCAAATGTACTTGCCCTTTAATGGTGATACCACCTCACCCAACACCATTATTGACGCAGTCTAAGTAGGGCAGTCCCTTCGAATATGAGACAACGAGGGATAAGGAATGGCTGTTCCCGTAGATGCCATAAATATGAATGGAATGGAAAATTTTCATTTTCTTCTGTGTGCTCATTAGAGCCGCTAAAAGAGAACGAGCATGCACCACCTAATCTATCAATCATGTCTCCAAAATGCCTCCTTTTCCCCCTCCCCTCCCCTATTCGCCCTCCCCCTCCTTCTCAGATAAACTAACTTTGTAGTTTTGCATCAGGAAGGGTGAAATAGTTCATTCAAACACCCCGGCTGGATTTCGGAAATTCGCATTATGGTTGTTCGTTGAAAATGTGAAAATAAAGGACAATATTAAGTATTGCGAAATGTTTTGTTCGTGCTGTGCCCGTCACTGCAAAAACAGAAGTCATCTGAATCGAATTGGTTATTTGACAATGGGCCTATCGATGTTGAAAGTGGTCATAGATAGGATGCTTTTCAAATCTGTGGAGATCTTAGCTACAATCACCCTGACCAGTGCTACTGTATGTGACAGCATGAAAGATCAAGCTATCATAACTCTGCCCGATCTTGCCGACGATGCTTCTGTATGGCTCCCAGTATGTAATATCAAAAAATATAGGAATTTCGGCGAGAGCAGATGCAGAGAGTTCTCGACGAAACATCGTTTGCTGTTTCAAGGCTTTGAAAAGATGAGAGAGTCAAACTTACAGCCATTCGTACCGATAAAATCGAACCTCCTATGCTGAATTTAAAGGAATGCTGCAGCGAAACTATAGTGTACCCGAACAGCATGTCTTTTACGGTACTCGAGATAAGGTCTCAAAAATTCACGCAAATCGTCGCAATCTCGCGTTTTTTTTTTCGTGAAGGTATCGTTGAATTCAACTCATCATGCTCTATAAGCGAATATCCGAAAGAAATGGGGATTTTCGCATCGGATTGCGCAATGCACTTCAGTTCCATCTGGAAAATAACCGCTCTACATAGGGTCCACGCTTTAGTGCTTGTAGGAGCTGATTTTTCTGTGAGGATAAAGCCTTTCTGATCCGTTTAAGTGCGCCACGTGCTTGACATTACACAGTACAGTACAAAGTGAAAATGATCGATTGGTTTTGCTCAGTCTCCACAGCTCGTTCTTCTCTAATGTGGAGGCGGTAGATGAATTTGGTAACTTTATAGCCGCGCTACTCAATACCCCTCGATACTCGATTATATCGGTAATACTCGATTTCGCAAAATTATAGTTACCCACCCGATTGCGGCAGGACTAATTTGCTAAGCTTCGTTCCGAAGTTCCGATAGGAACAAAGTTGGAATGCGCCATGTGCTTCGGGCACCATCTGGAATTCGTGTTCATTCGCATGCATTCAACTGCTCATATAAGCAACTTCGGGAAACAATTACACTACAACGTGAATGCGTCTATTAGCTTCAACACGCGCTACGCATTCGAGTTCTGCTTGAAGGCGCAGTTCACGATAATAGTGAGGTACCCATTTTAGGTAGAAAAGTGGAAGTGTTGATGTAGAGGAGTACATCGGTGGCGAAGGGAGAAAATCCGCTTACTTCGAGGCTTTTTAAAAGTAGGGAAGGGGAGGTTGTACGAGATCACCGTGTTGGTAATGGCATGTCAGGGATAGGACGAGGTTTAAATTGTTTCTGTTGCTCAAAGAGATGACCACATCAGGCCGAAATTGTCCTAAAAAACTGCCTTTCACTTTGGCCATGGGTCATTCCTGAGATAGCGCAGCCTCCACGAAGCCGTTGAAACTCGTCACGATGGGTGTGGCATTCACAAGGTACAATCTCTGGCCCCTTATTGTGCCCTATCCATGACGTTTTTTGACTTTTTGACGGCACGTATGGTATACGGGAGAGCCTCGAATCCATACTATAGAGAATTCCCAGAAACCATTTACCGCGAACTGTGCCTTGAAGACGGTATTCTCTGAATTTGTAAAACCGAATGAAGATGAGTTCGCTCTTCTACAGAGTAGTCAAATTAGGTGAAACATTATGGCACAACAAATTTGGAGTTATGGGCCTCAGCTTTCAAACGTATTCGTCGATCTCAACACTCATGTTTTTCACGGAAATTGGTGGACCTTCTATTAAGAAAGCTCATTATCAAGACTGAATTGTTTTCCATTGTTGTTCCGCTTGAACATTTGTGAGTGTTGTGTCAGGGCAAGCTAAACTCGACGTTGTTGAACTGTTGTGTTTTGCCCAATTGGACTACTCTACACAGGAACAGGCTCACTTTAATTTGGTTTTATGTTTAGCGAACAGCATATTTAGTAGAACTGGAGCGCGTGGCGTGTTGAATTCAATGATCCATGCATCTACTTTGTAGCATAACTGTTCCCTAATGATGCTTACGTGAGAGATTAATGCATACGACTTATCACGAATTTTGGATGGAGCAAGTTGCACATGACACATTCCAGTCTCAGTCCACTTTTGGAACAAAGCTTTCAACTTATAGCTTATACGAGCGGCTGCGCATCACTTAGGAACGGAGTTTGAGCTAGGTAGTTGCTTATAACAGCGAGACAGACAGACAGTTGTTGAAAAGACAAGTAACTGCGAAAGGATTGCCCACTTGGACCAAATCGGGTGACTACCTTCCTTTGTGCGTTTACTTGAAAGTAATCAAAGTGAATAGACATTTGCAGCGCACCCTCTAACAGATCAATCAAGTCCTTGACAATGGATCACGTCTCCCCTTTGCCCGCAGGAACGCTTGCTTTCAACATTTCATGTAAGAGGGAGTGAAATAGTGCTAAGTCCGTCCACATACTTCGACGAATCCCCAAATTCAAACCCATAAAGAAAAATGTTACAGAGTTTCGACTTACCTCAATGCGCCGTTAATACTTTTTCACTCCGTAACATGGACAGTTTCATAATCCGATAAATTTGCTCATAACAGAACAATATTCATTTTATTTAGAACATATGACACGTAACAAAGGGTGAGGTTTTCTTGTAATGGAAAAACTCTTTGAACGATCGGGGAGATACGTATAAAAGTAGGAGGCATTGCTGAAGGAGCAACATCTCACAATGTTAACAAGAATCCTTCTACTGTTTCTTCTACCAAACTTGGTAAATATCCCATTTTCAATCATTTTACCTTTTCCCGGTACATATAATGAGGTATATCAAGATGCACAATGCGTTGGTATCGTCATTTGAATGCTCGTGTACACTGAACCCAACGACTGGAAGCCCTAGCACAGAAGAAAGCACGAAAACTTCCTTCACCTACTCCACTATGCACCCTGGTTTGTATTTGAATGATATTCTTTCAGCAATTGCAAGGAACTCCTCTAAAGCCTGACGTCCACTATGAAGGCTCTCGCTTAGAATCTGAAAGTCTGAATCACTAATGTAAATGTTAGAAATTAGTGAGAATTCCACAGAGTTTTTTGAGGAGCACGGTGTAGAACAAACACACAATTACAACTTACCTCAATCCACNAGAGTCAAGTACGCCCTCCGGTACCATGAGCTCCGGTTAGTATTATGCGCACTGAAGTTTCCTGAGTATTCCACCAAAGAACTTCATCCGACATAACGTTCCAGGAATGAGCGAGAGCACCCCAGCTTCTGGAAGCACGAGCAGCAGCTCCGGTGTAAGTGGAGAGTCAAGCACGGCCTCTGGCACCATGAGCTCCGGTTAGTACTATGCGCACTGAAGTTTTCTGAGTATTCTACCAAAGAACTTCTTCCGACATAACGTTCCAGGAATGAGCGAGAGCACTCCAGCTTCTGGAAGCACGAGCAGCAGCTCCGGTGTAAGTGGAGAGTCAAGCACGGCCTCTGGCACCATGAGCTCCGGTTAGTACTATACTATGCGCATGAAGTTTTCTGAGAATCCCATGAATTTCTTCTCAACCCTGAAGTCAACCACGGTTTGCCTCACTCCATTTTCAGGAATGAGCGAGAGCACTCAAGGGACTGGAAGCACAAGTAGCAGTGCAGAAATGAGTGAAGAGACAAGTACGGCTCCTAGTACTGTGAGCTCCGGTGAGCGTTTTTTGCAATGAATATTTCCGAACATTCCTCCAATCAGGACTATTTTGTCGAAATCACTGGCACTTTCTTAAATGGTGCTTCAGAAACCGGCAAGAGCACTTCACCAAGTGAAAGTATGAGCAGCAGCAGCAGCAGCAATGAGGCGAGCACGGAAACATCCATGGCCCACACTACTACTACTACTGGTAATCAATTTAAATTATGAAAATTTCCAAAAATCTACTCACTAGTGCACTCCTGGATATGAATATGGAACCATTTATAATCGACACTCCAGAGATGAGCAAGAGCAGTCCAACAGTTGAAAGTATGAGCTCAAGCAGTACAGAAGCAAGCACGGAGACAACAACCGCCCACACTAGTACGAGCACTGGTAAGTAGAGGGTGAGCCGTCGTAATGGTACCAAAGTATTTGCGGTGCAGCAACAATTTGGCTCTAAATGATTGGAACCCCTTGGAACTGCATACTATGCTGTACACCAAGAAAATTCTTATTCGAAATGACGGCCTCATTCGCGAATTGCAGCTCGAGGACCTTAGGTTCATATTGACAAGGGCACGTGGAGTGAGAGGGACCTCGTAGTCACTTCGTACTTCCTTCAGAGAAGCGCCGGAGTGGTGTTTTCCGAGAAGAAGACTCCCTTCGCAGATAGTCACCCATATCTTGGGTTGCATTCAATGAAATTGGCAGATGGTCCTGATTTTGGCACAAAATAGGATCCATCAACATTAGACCACTTTGGATTCTGTTCTCCGGTGTGCAGTTCCGTATTGTTCGAGTGTAGAGTCCAAGGTATATCCTGGGAACGACCTCCGACCTATGACAGCATTTCCCGTACACGATACCCTGATTGCTTTTGGCATCCTATTTCAACAAGAATGTGGAAAGAAAAAGAATGAACAGGTTCAAATAAATATCCATAGTCCAACACATCAGGAACAACGAGCAGTCCAACAACTCCAAGCACCAGCACCAGCACAAGCACCAGCACCAGCACCAGTACGAGCACCAGCTCCACTACCAGCACCAGCACGACCACGACAACAACATCGACAACAACATCCACAGTAAACCCAGGTCGGTATTTAAAGCAGCGCATTTTCCAAACCCTCGTTTTCGCAGCCTTACATCTCTTGCAGTAAATCTTGAGTCTATTACATTTTTTTCCACTTACTAGTTCAGATAACAGAATCTGCCCGCATAACCACGTTATGGACGATATGACAAGGAATAAATCAATAATAGCCCATAACTATCGCAGGTAATGTATGGTTCTTGGATTTTTTTGTGAAACCGTAAGACCTAAATAATCACATGCATATAATATGTTTCAGATCTCGGCTTGCACAAGGTTTGGTCAAGAACAAAAACGGAAAAGATCTGCCACAAGCAAGCAACATGCTAAGACTGGTACTGTGGTTTGGATTCTATTATGGTTTCTACTTTGAAGGGGTGCATTATCCGTTAAGGAAGTCAAAAAATTTATTCAAGTCCCTAATATCATAGAAAAGCCATAACTTGGAGTCAGTGTGGCAAAGAGGAGAAAATTGCAAATTTCGCGAAGGTGACAGTACTTCCTATTCTCGGTCTTCGTCTCCCCGCCTTGACTGTTCGCTTGAACACGCTGGACACTCCTGCCCACGACTTTTGCATCACAAACCTACGAAGAGTAAAGGAAAGCGTTGATAAATGAGAAATCCTGATTCATTTACAGCTATACAACTGCGACCTGGAGAACAGTGCTGTTAGTTCTGCTACAAGATGTTCGGGAAATCCCATGCCATCACTACCCTCTGACATACAGGAGAACGTCTATTTGGTGCCGGCAAGTGCTGGGGCTCAAAATCCTCAAGATGCAATCATTGTGGTAAGTTAAATTTGTTAGCTTGAAAAATCACACCATGTTCTAGACGCCAAATGCACATCTAGGCTATAAAACAGTGGTGGAGTCAAATAAGAATGAACGGAGGCATCGGCCAAGGAGTAACATATACTACATATAATGAGGGCACTCCAACCGCCTGGTTTACCAGGGTATGGCTCTTTTCTATTTTTTACCAAAACTATCTAGCCTCAATACGATCCCTGGCTACATGTTGAAAATAACTGTTTTTGCAGATGGCCTGGGCAACTACCCAGTATTTTGGTTGTGCTGTCGTTTCTTGTGGAGATAGCCAATGGTCTGCTGTGTGTCACTATAAACCCGGGTGAGTTTGCCTGATGCTCAAATCAAGCCTATATTCGCAAATTAGAAGCTTTCGGCCGGACCCGAGATCCTTTGTTACACTATCCTGGTAAATCCCCCCTTACTGATCAGCATGAGGTAAATACTTTTACGAAAACTCAGACAAAAACTAACGAACAGTTTTGAATGATACTTTTTCAGAGGCAATATATTGAATGAACATCTCTACGAGAAGGGTACTCCGTGTTCGGCTTGCCCCTCTGGCGACACTTGCGACCCCGAATATCTTTGTGTTCCTCCCGGTGCATCACCTCTTTTTCTCTAGTTCGGAATGTTGTTCCGTGAAAGTAGTAAATACTTTGACATACTCGACTATTCACTGAAACTGAACCAGCACTCGCGTACTGATCCCAATGACAGTTCCGAAGGCAAACTTCCCTTCTATTGTTTACTACCTGGGTTAACACATATATTCCATCATGAGAGATTTACAGGAGGCAAAGAATACTGGAATGATTCTTAAGAATAACATGGGAAGTTTTCACTTTCTCCTGCGCACTCACTTAGAACTGTTAAAAGTGAACGAGCATTCGCAATGCACCACCTAAAATATCAATCAAATATTCAACAAATCCTCCCTTTCACCCCTCCTTTCCCCTATCCCCTCTTCCCCTTCCTCCTTAGGTACAATTACTTTGTAGTTTTCAAAAGGAATGGAGAAATAGTTCATCGAAATACTACCCCGGCTAGATTTCTGAAATTCGCAACATGGTCGTTCGTTGAAAATGTGAAAAAGGTCAATATTAAGTATTGCGAAATATTTTGTTCATGCTTTGCCCGTCACTGCAAAAACCGAAGTTATTCGAATTGAATTGGTTGTTTGACAGCGGGTCTATCGGTATTCAGAGGGGCCAAAGCATGCTTTTCAAATCTATCAAGGACTTGGCTATTCTCACCCCAGCCCTTTTGCCTTTAACAGCATGGAAGATTAAGATGTCATCACTCTGCCCGATTTGGCCGACAATGCTTCTATATGGCTCCCAGTATGTAACACTAAAGAATATAGCAATTTCGGCCAGGTCAGATGCTAGAGCTTTCGAATGAAACATCGTTCAGCGATTCAAGTTTTTGAAAAACTCAGAAAGGCAAATTTATAACCATTCATACCACTGTCTGGCCCATAAAATCGAACCGTCTATGTTGACTTTGAGGGAATGGTGCAGCCAAAGTTAAAGCGTGCATGACTCAGCGTGCCCTTCGTACAGTACTCGCTGTAGGAACTCGAAAATTTACTCCATTACCGCGAGCTCGCGCATCTTTCTTGCTTTCCCCACAAGTAGGTTCAGAGTGGATTACTCCAGGAGCTGAAGATTGTTGACCTTAGCTAACTTAGCTCTATTAGCAGATAGCCAAATGTATTGGAAACGCTTAGTTCCAGATTGCGCGAAGCACTTGAGTTCCATTCGAAAACTGCAAGTATACGGGGTACACGCTTCAGTGCTTGTAGAGGCTGAAAGTCTGTGAGGATAAAGTATTCAGAATCCGCTTCAGAGTACGCCGCTCGATTTCACTCAGTACAAAGTTTAATGATTGATTAGGTTCAGTCTCCATCTCTAATGTGCAGGCGGTAGATGATCATGGTAACTCTCTCGACTACGGCAGAAATATAACAACCTACTCGATCGCAGGGGAAATAGTTTGCTTCTAAGTTCCGGTGAAAGCGAACCTGGAATGCGTCAACCATGCTGTTGAGAACAGAAGGAAAAATAGGTAGTCTTTTAGGTTATGCCGCGCAGCTATATGGGGTCATACCCCGAAGGATGTGCTTGCCTACAATCGAGTGGTTTACTACAATATATTCCTGCAGTACACTAAGCGTAATTCTCGATGGTGAAACGATTTCATCCCTGACTTTACTATCTTTCATCCCGAAATGTTCCTTTCAACATGAGGAAGTCTCACAAAACCAGGTTAGAGCGCGTGCCAGAGAAGTAACTCGCCTCAAAGGATTGGATCAAATTAGACAGTCGTTTTGCAGCGATAATACTTTCAGTTAATTCGCACATTAAAATGCGACAGGAACCTCACATACATCCAATCAAGTCCACGATGCATTTGATGGAGTCGAGTGTCTGACGCACTCCACAAGGTGTCTCTAGCGCTTTTTTCTTGGTGGCTTATTAGCTTGCATAACCGTGCGCCACGTGCGCATTCAGTTAGCAGTTGAGATGGGGCTCTACTGCATGGCGCAATCCGAAGTCGTGGTTTTCGAAACTTCACGAAATCTTCTTGTGAAGCTTGACGAGCTGTTCTGAACGATATCTGTAGCTCTTGAAATACTTCACTCTGAACCGACTTGTGAAGAAAATACAGAAATCTCGTGAGTTCGCTGTACTTGCGTGATTTTCGAGTTCTGACGGCAACAGTTGCACATGAAAACATTTACAAAATACTATGGAAACGTCGCATTATCTCGCAGTCAGCAACGTTTTTCCAAATCATAGTGCAAAGAATTTCATCATTCAAAATTTTGTTCATAACAGGAGGGTGAAAAGTAAAGTAAAAACCCTTGATCATATGACGATGACACGTAACAATAGGGCGTTGTAGTGTCTTGTAATTACAAAGCTATGTTTGGACGATTGAGTGTAATTCGTATATAAAACGAATACACTGTTGTAGCGGCAATATTTCACAATGTCGATTAAATTGCTTCTATTGTTTCTTTTTGTGATCCTGGTAAGTTTTAATTGAAACTATTTTGCCTTTTTCGTCTCATTTAATGAGATATATCAAGACGAACAATGCCCTGGTATCGTCATTCGAGTGCTCGTGCTTACTGAACTCAATGAGTGCAAGCCCAAGCACGGAAGAAAACACACAAACCACTACCTATTCCACCATGGAGACCGGTTTGTATTTTAGTGGTTGAATTTATTCTAATGACAGGGAAATTCGTAATAAGTCGAGTCCAGCCATAGTTTCCTTTGTCTCGTACTCCAGAAACCTTACCCGCACGACCTTTTTGGCATACCCAAGCCTCACAAAGAAGAATAGCAAATAAAAGCTAGCAAAGAAGCGATGGAGACTTCCCTGTATATACCCTGAATGACAGAGCTTTTCATGTGTTCTGTGCTTAGCATATATCATACATCCTTTATACCATTTATAGCGAGCATAATCTACATATATCTCTTGTCGTTTCTAGCGGCTTCATAACTAGACGTTGGCAGCTCTTCAAAGGCACAAGGATACACAAGGACAAGAATGTGCTCTGTGATTTCCTCTTGAATAGAACACCATAAGGGGCCAGAAATTACATGGTGTGGGCTACACCAGGCAATAGGCTGACTATGAAATGTAATCGCGGGGCACCGATGTTCGCCTTGGAGCAACTTCTGTGGAAAATCAATCAGCTTATGGTCTCAGCAAGCGAGAGTTATTATTTTTCAGACTATTCTTTCATTCCTTTTGCCGCTATTTGTGTCTAATTTTGTTCTGAATGCCTGCTCTGTTAGTGTAGTATTGAATAAGAGAGTAGCGCAGAATAAAACCACCTATGTCAGGACCATCAGCTGGTTGGAAAACAATGTCAGGCATTTTTCTTATTGTAGTTTGCTGTGAGCAATGACATCAAACACCCATTCGTGCATTCGTGCACCTTTTGTGATCACATTCTGGTTCAAACTCTGACTTTAGAACTTATTTGAAGTCTCATATCCACAACTACAGGGTAACCCAAACTATGGGACAAAATTCAATAAGTTCTGAGGCAGAAATGACTTATGGCACTTCACTTCATTTGCTATTAATCATTTGCACAAATAGGTTCTCTTGCAATATGCAACTAGAGTGAAACTCCCAATCTCTAGAAGGGGAAGGCTCATTCAATGCCACTTGCAATCATTAGCATGCAAGAGGAGGAAGGGCGTAGTGAAATTTCCTGTCATTACTCGCCATACAGAAGGCAAATAAAGATGCAGAATCAGGGATGAGAGAAGCAGAATCAATCGAAAACAAAGCCTAAAGGTGTAGAAAGACCAGTGTTTTTGAAGATAGGGCTATCAAATTAGTTCATTCGTGAGTCGAGTCGTGAGTCATGGCCTGAAAGAGCGGCAACGGAGCAAGACTTATCAAAGCTGTTGATGAGACAGATTGTCGTGCAGAAGCTTCATTATCATTCCTATGGTATGCAACAATACCACTTCGTCTCCGATTCCAGCAGACTGTTGTGGGTCAAAAAATGTAGGTGGCTGCTAGCTCACTTGAAAAGAAATCCTCATCTTCCCATCGTTTCCCCTGGCAGGAGATTTTTACAACAAAGCCAATCCTCGCAAAGTATAATACAACGATCGCGTTCTAGTTAGGAACATCGCATACGCAGTCATCATAAAACGTTTTATAAGAAAAGCAAAAAGAAGCATTTAGTGACACGTGTGGTACTGGCGTGAAAGTTGGCCAAGACGTGCACTTAAAGAGTATACTTATGGACACCATGAATCACGGATGCGACTCCGCTTTTTAAAATAGCTCGTGGCCTCCAGCAGGATGTACACTACCCCACAAAGTCAAGCACGTCCAAGAATGATGCCGAAGACAGAGGAGAGCAATGGGTATCTTGCATCCCATATCTTAAAATCTTGACCTCCTCGTGTGGTTCCTAAATAGAAGAAAACCTGTGGGTTGTGTCATCTTGATTTCAAGTCCTTAGAAGAAGTGAAGAAGGAATACTCACACGTATTACGCAGGGGCTCGAGAAGAAACCTCGGGCTTCTATCCGTGCAAATAGGGGTATTTCTTCGTGTGATTGTAGCTCGATTTTGCACATATTGTATGCAAGCGTGCATATAGAATCCATCGTCATTCTCAACTCAGAACTTTCAAACATATTGGAATGAATAGGCGCCTATAATTGTGAAGCGCCCTGTATAATACTTAACTTTCTGCCTGAGCGTCGCCCACGTAGTTCTGATACGGAAACCCCGAATTAGAGAGCATGAAGTCTGGACTGCTCGATTTGCTGTTGCAATAGGTTTGTATTCTGAACAGCTTAAGTCAAATGTCGGAATGTGTTGTAAGTCTACTGCATCTTGCTCCATCTCCTGAACGAATCACCATTTCCCACCTTATCCTACTATATATAATTCGCTAAGTGTGTCTGTTGGTGTGTCGGTGTGTTTGTGTGTGTGTCGGTAAGTGTGTCTGACCGGAAATTCACAACTCCGGTCCCCGTGGACCTAGAGCGTTCAAACTTAGGAGTACGGGGGGCAGGATGGGAACACTTATGGTGAGTGGCAGGACCGGACTCAATGCACAGTGGGCGGGGCGTGCGCGATAGAAATTTCGGGCCGCAATTTTATAACTCCTGTCCCCGTGGACCGAGAGCGTTCAAACATGGTAGGAGTACGGGGGGCAGGATGGGAACACTTATGGTGAGTAGCAGGACCGGACTCAATGCACAGGGGGCGCGGCGTGCGCGATGGAATTTTGGGCCGCAATTTCATAACTCCTGTTTACGTGGATCTAGAGCGCTGAAGTTTGGTAGGATTACACTTTTAGTGCTAACAGTGGAACCTTAGTATTTTAATATGTGATGTAGTATATGACGGTATCGTAGGTTCTCGGTGACGAGAACTGATCATAACTGATAAGAGAAGATAAGGGACCTAAAAGAGGCCACACCGATCAAAATCCTAACGTCTTCGGTATCTACGATGTATCTTTTACCATTCAGTATGTTTCATTCGATAAGACGGGATCGGTAGAGCAGGGTGACAAAAGTGAGTGGTAAGTGCAGTGATAGGGACCCATTAGGGCAATACGATAAGCAGATTAAAACTTCGTTAATTTCTTACTATTAGATTACGACCGCTACCCAGCAAGGTTTGTGATCCAATGAAGGGTCCTCCTCGGTCGATATCATTTGCGACAAAACTTAATAGACCGCCCGTAATCTGGAATTCTCAACTAATGATGTCTACGTGAAGAAAAGGGTCCATTGATAAAGAACATCTGATAATGGTGCTATCATCGCTCGGAACATCTCCACAGCAT